AGCAAATCGAGAGCCATGCGGAAAAACCTGCGGAAAAACACATTCGAGTGTCAAATGATCATGTCTGGGATGTCCAGGTGTTAGTGTGATATAGGTGTATGCAAAGAGGCACAGCGATTCATTTTGCCTTGAGAAGGCTGCGACGCGCGCATGCACAGACCGCGGCCGCATGAGAGAAAAACAAAACAGGCGGTCTGCCGCCCATCTCGTCACGTCGGCATTTGATGTCATCGATCGCGATGGATTTCCTTCGTGGCTGAGCCATGTTCCACTGGTTCCTGGTCCAACAAATCCAGTCATCTACTGCATTTTGACGCACGGCATCAATGAGCAGTAACATCAAAAGCAAAAGTTGCGGGGTTGGCTTCCGGCGAGCCGCTGGATCGACGCCAGAAAGGACACCAGTAGCGAACGGCAGGGTTAGTATACCTTTGTTGGGGACCAAACCGAGACAGCCCGGCCTGGGCCCAGGGCTTTCAACCCGGTGAAACGCGGTTCAAGAGACCATCTTCCCTTGCAATTGCAACAGGGCTGCTGTAGCCAAACTGACGCGTGCTAGCCGAGTGGGCGTCTAGAGTGTGACCGTCGGCACCAGCTGTTTTGGCCAAGCTGCCGACCTCTGAGGCCTCTACCTCCGTCTCTCAGTGAATCTCCACCGGCTCACTGACCGCAGAGGATCCATCATCATCATTATTGCTTTTCGCCCCCACCCCCTCCCCCCATGCCCAGCAACTCGTATGCACTGGCATATGTAGAGTGAATATCACCCAACGTGGTGCTGCAACGGTAAAATTCCACGACATGCGGTTATCGTCGATTGAGTACAGAATAAGCTGAGGGAAACGCTGACTCGCTTGATGTTGGTGCATGAATTTGATGATCCTGGATGCCGTGCCATGTTCAGGTGAAAGCACCAGATGCACGCCCGGAAGCCAGACACGGATGCCAGTACGCCGGGAGCTCGACGACAAAGTAGTCCCTCTAGTCCGAAAGAGGCAGCCTTCTGCTGGATCATGAAGTATGAATCCTGCCGTCTGGATTTCTCCACCCAGAGATGAATCAGCTGGTCTCCCTTTGTATGCTTAGGTATACCATATCTTGCTGCCGGAGGCTGATGATGCGCATTTCGTTTGACGAGGCGGCGTTGCTGCTCACACTCATATCATGAACCTCCGTTGAATTTCTGTCATCTTGTTCCGTTGCATACTCCTGTGGCTTGCCCGGGGCGGTGGGTCGCTTGTGCTCGAAAACCACGAAATCAGCATCAAAATCGCGTGAAACGGTCACCACCAGGACTTAGTCTCTGACTGGCAAGGGAAAAGCACGTCGTTTTGAACCAAAAACACCGAATTCCGTCCGCAAGAAGTGCCGTCCTCTTTGACCAGGGAAGTTTTGTACAGCATTGATGGTCCTGCTGCCTTTGCCGGTGACGGGAACAGTGAGTCGGGGGTTCTCTGGGTGGCCAGTGCGGATCTTGTACAAGAGAAGCGCAGTCATCCACACCGTGTCGTTGCTTTGTGCAGTCATCGGCACGACTCCAAATCATCAGAGGCACGCAAGTGCCAGCTCCATTTTGCAGATCCAAGTCAGACCAATTTTCAATCCGGAGACCTTGCAGAAGAAGTGCGAATTCATCTTCGCTCTGGATCGCGAGGCGCGAATTCAGTTTCTCGGGACGGCGCAATGCTCTTTGCTCCTTGTATTTGTTCGGTCTTCAGCTGGCCAAATTGCTTTGAATGTCACACCCTGGGGAGCAAATAGATCCCCATAATACCTGTGTTGCTGTCTCTGGCAACAATGATCAGAAGAGCTCTGGCACAGTACCACAATGGCATCGGTGACCGGTGTCATGGGACTGGGCAGCATTGTGTTCCGTTAGCAAGGGAGACGGTGCAAACCCCGGTCTGTAGGCCACTATCTAGTGCAGCCCCTCAACACAGCGGCATAACCCGGGCGGTCCGCAAAGCTTAGTAGAAGGGTCCGGTGAGCTACCTGGTTTTGATGGTTCCCCGACTTTGTTTGTGTTACAACCCGGCCAAGTCAGAACACGCTCGCGTTAGTTGTTATGATGATCTTGAAAAATACAGCCGTCAAGGTCAACTTTCCTCTCCAGGTCTTCAATCCAACTGTGTCAAGCTTGCTGACACAAGCCTCCCCTGCCGGCATAGACCACTGACAGGGCCGGCCATATGGTGCAGGCTGATCGGAGGATGGGTAGGTGGCTGTGGATGGCCGCCGACCTTGGTAGCCATTCGCGGTGAGGACAGTAACCGCTGCACAAAAGCTCCAGTCACCATGACTGAGGCGTGATGCCATTCCTATTCAGTAGAAAGCTCCGTCGCAGGATTTTGTACATGGTCTGTTCAGCGCCGCGTGTGAGTCCCCTCCATTTTCGGTTGTAGGGTTGCACGACAGTAGCGACCGACGCGACCGGGAGATGCTGCAGGTGAGAGAAAGGATGTAACAAGGTGAATGGAGGACAGACTATAGACGGTAAGTGGAAGGTGAGATTGCGAAAGAACACCGAGCACGACGGCGAGAAGGACGACCATGCGCCTACTGTGTCAGGGTATAGCGGCCATCTCCTGCAGACCGTTACTATGCTTTCGGCACTATCTCTCCCAAGAGAGAAGACGGTCATCATTTCCCGGTCGGCGGAATGGCTGGGCGGCGCCATTTTCCTGTCGCATATCGCGGCGGTGCAGCACCTGGGTGGGAGAAGGGGGCAGAAAACCCTTCGAGAGGAAATGGCTGCACAGTGGGAAGAGTTGTGGAGATGACAATCGGTTCAGGTCTGTCTGTGCCCACGGCGTGGAGTGTCACTGCCTGCTGGAGAAGACGCGATGGGTTTTCAGCTTGGAAATTGGCAGTGCTGGCCGCACGCTTGTCGATTCCTTCTGGTGACGATTTCTTATCTTTCTGTCCGTTGCCATATTCCCGAACAGCCCGTCGCTGTTTGCGTGACAAGGCCGATAATCCTGAAGCCGGAGCACTGCGGAATGCGACCAGTGCTTGGAGGACTGGCGACATAGCATCAGATACCACAGTATATCCGAGGCGAGAGTTTGCGTGGAGCCCTCGATTTTTGTCGCCGGAATCGGGCAAGCGGTCAAAGTGGGCTGAGCAGGGGGTAGAGATCGCGTGGGCGTGTGGAGTTGAAGCCGGGGGCGAGCACAATAAGAGACAAGATCCCTGTCGCGGCGTCCATTGGCAGTTGCATTTGCCCATGTCCCTGGCTGACAACCTGGGCGTGTTCACCTCGTGAACCGACGCTTGGAACGGAAGCCTGAGGGCGGCCGTCATTGGGCAGGGTCCTGCGGGAGATGCAGCCAAGGGTACTGCTGCCCGGTGCTTGTTCGACAAGGGCCCTAATGGGTGGTACGATCTGTACCGCCCTCCCGCTTCCCCGTCTGTGTCTTCCTGCATTCAAACTGCCTGAGCTTTCCCAGGGGACTGGGTCCAATGACACCCTCGCCATGCTTGGGCGTCTCCGGGATAATGAATTCCACCCTCCCCAGTAAAGAAAACCTGCTAGCGTTTTTAAAAGTAGTTAATAAACCTACTTTAAAGATTAATATCTTTAAGCATTTATATTATATCCTTTAAATTTAAATTATTTTTTAAAATTTATTATTAAATAAAAATATTAATTAAAATAAAAATTAAATATAATAAATAATTAATAAATATTATTTAAATATTATTTTAAATTTAATTTATTATTTTTTAAATTTTTAAAATAATTAAAATATTATTTTTTATTAAAAAATTAATAATATTTTATTTAATAATTAATAATTTTATTAATTTTAAAAATATTTTTTTAAATTATTTTTATTTATTTTAAAAAATTTAAATAATATTAAATTAAACTTTAAATAATATTTAAATAAAATTTATTAAATATTTATTATATTTAATTTTTTATTTTAATTAATTTATTTTAAATTTAATTATTAATATATAAATAATTTTTTTAAAAAAATAATAAAATTACTTTAAAATATTAAATTTTTAATAATAAAATTATTAATTATTATAAAAAACGCTAGCAGATTTTCTTTACTGGGGAGGGTGGAATTCATCATCCCAGCCAACGAGGCTTCAAGGTAGCCAGGTGTTGTGCAACCTAGATCCCTGACGGCCGACGGAAGGATCGAGGCACTGCGTGGTCGTCGTTGTCGTCGGCAGTTCTAGACTCTCGCTCATGGCACACAGAACTGTCAGAGGAGGGCTTGATAGCCGTGGCCTGTAATGAGCAGCCCCCCTACTTGCCAAGTGACGTCTGGGGCAGCATAAACGCGGTGGTCGGACGTCGACATGTGCAACTCTGCTCTGCAGGGTGGCGGAAAGCAGGCTCGCGGTGCAGCCCAAAAACGATTTGGTACCTTGGTATCGATTCTCTGCAACTGCGACGTGGTGCGCCATGTACGAAACTCGCATTAGGCGGCCGCTGGGCAGTGATTGTGTGGCAGACTGATTGCCCAGCCCGGATGCTTGACTGACATGCGTCTGCAGAGCGATGCATCCATTTGAAACGGGCGGTCGATGATGGAGAGCTCTGGCATTTGAGGCTGGCCAACAGCATGATGCGTGGGTGCAGGACGATGGTGGTGCAGGCGCAGCCCGAAAATGATGAGCAGGCGGGCGGGCATTTCTTCCATGTACCTGTAGATACAGAGAGTGTGTACCTGGAATCGTGGAAGGGGCTGGGCCTGGGTCGCTGCGAGTGACTTTCCTGAAACGGCAGCCAGTCCTCACGAGCAACATGTTGGCAGGTGCGAGGAGCTTGGGTATGGTCAGCAGCAGGCCACGATGCAACGATGTCTCTGTCCTCCCCAAGCTTCCTTCCCCGAGCTCCTGCAGCCCCTTTGCCAGCCCCATGTGCCGTCCAAGACGCCACCCGCTTTCTGTGCCACCATCTCGAAACTCCAGCCAACGGTGGCAGATGGTAGCACACTTGCGTCAGAACATGCCCGCATCTCTGAGCATTCCACCACATGGCGCCGGGCAGTTTGAGGTACAGCAAGTCCTCACATCCTTCGACCCTCTTACTGAGCCTTTCGGTGCAGAGGTATGGTTCGGCGGTCTGGTCGTTTCTAGCCCCGCATCAGTGCGGCAGAGACAGACAGCCTGAGCCTGTGCTGATGACAACCTCGCGCGATTTCTTCCTCTGGGCTTGCGACCACGACCACGACTGGAAACCTCCGCATAGCAACTGCAATAAGAACAACAACAGCATCGCCCTCATCGTCGTCATCATCACCATAATCATCATCATGACGGCGTCGCCACCGCCGCATTGCAATTCCTAGACCATCGGGTCGTATGATTCTCTTGTCTGGGCCTCGAACCGTGCATCGAACCGTCGGAACACCAGCCTCTTAGCTTTCTGCGTGTCCGCCAACGGCCGCGGTACAAGGAGAATTCCCCACACAAGCGGGATGACGAGTTTGGTCTAAGCTGGTATCACCCCTGGAAGTGGGCACGGCGGCGGCGATGACACAGAAGGTTCACGGGCTGTGCCGCGAATCCTGCAGGTTCTGCGAACCCCTGTTGGCCACGAGGTTCCCTCCCATCAGTAACGCTCTGCCCGCGATGACAGGCGAGGAAGCCAAGAACCAATGGGCCGGACTACGACCGACCGCTTCCTGTTTTTTTCGGCTTTCACACAGTACCACACTCCGGGATCTCTGGAGAATTTCAAACGAGCTGGCTGAGGCCCTGAATCGTTCACAACATTGTCGCTACTCACGTGGCGCGGAAAACCTTGGAATGAGAGGAGGAAAGTCGAAAACTACTGGGGAGGCCTTTCTACCACCCGGCAACATGATTTGTTGTAGCAAAATATTCCCGAACACGAACCTGGTGAGTCTCTCTGGTCGTCTCCACAGTCAGAGAGCCGAGGGACCCAATGACTTCCGAGCATCTCGTGTCGAGCCGTCCACCCCTGCCCATCTTGAGCCCGATCGATCTAGTGCCGTCCCCTCCAGTACCTGACCGCGACACATGAAAACTCCGAATTACCATAGCCTTGGGCCCATTAGAGGCCATGGTGGCGCGGGCATCGGCTGGAGCTGGTGTTTATACAGCATAGTGCAGCACAGTACGAGAGTATTACCAGCGCAATCGCCCACGCCGCGAGGCCGAGCTCAATCCCCAGGTGTGGCATGGAGTAGGGCCTCCCGTCATCGTAAGCATCGCGTTGCACTCGCACTGTCCTTGGGATTTGGGATCGTCCCAGAGTCGGCAGACCGACCCTACGGTACGGGGTACCTTGACTTGCACTGCGTCAGCCTCTTCCGCTCCACTGGCGGCTTTCTATCCTTTCACTGTTGCCGGACTTGGCGCGGGTCGCCATTAGGATCCGCAGAGTTGCAGCGATGACCCAACAGAGCAACCAGCGGTGAATGACAAGAGAGCCCCTCGTGGCTCACAAATTGAGCTTTTGACGCTGAGCCTCAAAATGGCAGGTAGATGAGCACCGCTCCCATTGCCGTTGCTCAAACCCACCCAGCATCAGCAGCACACTGCCGCACGTGGGAGCCCGTGTTTCGCCAATGGGGTACCCTGAGCAGGCTGCAATGGCCGATCAGCTACGCCTGACAACGTGCGGCGGTTATACTGCCAACGGCCTCTGCCGGGAAAACAAGCTAAAACTCCGAGAGGATGCAGCGGTTGCAGTTTGAAGAATTCGAGGTGGATCTTGCCTGGTATGATCACTGCTGTGTCCAGTAGATTGGATCCATCCCGCTATGTGCAGCCCACTTGCTTGACCTGCGGCAAAGACACCAACCATGGTTGGCACGGTTGGCGGAATCCTAGCTGGGGAACAAATAGGGTTCAAACACAAACTTCACGCTGCGGCCGAGGATGCGGCCTACAAATAGAGGACCCGGTATGGTGGGATGAAACGGCCCATTAGGCGCGGGCCACATCTACCTCAGATCACCACCTGATTGGAAAGTCGAGCCTTCAAGATTGCCTTGGGCCTCCAACGGGTGCGGCTCTCCAATCAGTCGCTTTGGCGCCGAGGCGCTCGAGGGTCTGATGACCCCCAACACTTCACGTTGACTTGACCGGTTGAAAGGCGCACACCAGACTCGCATGTGCCACCATGGTGCGTAACACACCGCAGGCCACACAAGACCCGATGCAAGGAGCCAACAAACAAGCGCCATGCCGCGCTGCCTGAGTTGCCTCCCCTGTAGTACGTACTCTCCGTCGGGTAGGATCCTCTTGCACGACAGACACCACTACGGTGCTGGAGCAGTTTGTGGTGTGCCGAGGCCACTCAGGATTCGGTATCACGACGTCTCATCGAGACATATGGCATCTGACAGCCAGCCACCCGTTCTCCGTCCCCACGCAGCATGGACCCGACGATGCGCTCGCAGGCCAAAACGTGTGGGATGATGCTGACGGAAGGTATGCCGAATCAAGCAAGACTCCTCGCGAATGGCGTCGAGTGGCAACGTTCCGGAGGCGGACTAAAACCCAACGGAGACAGGGGTTGATACCGACAATCTGGTTCACCTCCAGCCGAAGCAAGCCAGGCCAAGGAGGCGGAGTCACAAAGAACAGACAAGTAGCTCTTTTGTTCGTCTCCCGCCAGCCCGCCTCGCATGTGCTTGTGTGCCGGCAAAGTACGTTTCACCATGGTTCTATCAGGTGCGACCACTAGACGAGACCAAGACACACTACGGAGCACTACCTGCTCATCGTTTGCTTTTTCCCTCCCGTCCGTCCTGTTTTAGAGAAAGGACTGTGCCGAAGCGGCCCGCCTGCAACCCTGCCTATCAGCGACATGGAGGAGGGGCCCGGGGCCGCTGTTCGTTCGACACGCGAGTTCCCTTGCACCATCCGAGATTCTGCAAACAAAGCCGAGGGCTATATTGGCGGGGATTTGCATCATCAGCTGCTCACTGCGTGCCGGAATCTCGACTTCCTAGCTGGTGGCCTTGCTGCATCGGGAGCCAATCCACACCCTCGGGGTGCAGCGACGCAGGCCTCGTGGCTGGCAGACCGTGTTCGGTGTCGACACAGTGTGACATGTGGAATACCTGTCAAGTCTAACTTATTAATGTACCGTGTCACCTACACGGTATCGCAGACGTTCAGCGGGGTGCAGGATGCGTCGATGGCACCAGTGGCCCGGCCCAGCGCGCCCCCCTGTGCTGCTGGGGCCAGGATCGCATGCTGGGGTTTGGCAGCTGCAAACGCTGACCCATGACGCTGCAGAAGTGGAGTTCGTCAGCCGTATTTTTCATCCTCCTGCCCCTTGCAATCGGCGGCCCTCGTTGACAGCTCAAGTCATTTTACCTGCGGCTCCCCTGCAGAGTCTGGCGGCCATGTGTTCTCTACCCCTTTCCCAGCGCCTGCCACGGATAAATCTTAATCTGCGAGCGGCGACAGCTGGTGACAACAGAACCACGAGGGCGCCCCCTCCCCCAGAGCCACAAGGGAAGACCCGAGCCATCCGTGGATGTCCCAGGCACTCTAAATCTTAATCGCGATGACACTGGGCCCAGCGGAGGCCCAGACCTTCGCCTCATATTCCGGCTTCCTGCGAGAAGAACGAGACAAGAAAGGCTGGGCGGCGTTTCTCAACCGCGCATAGGCGGTTTGACGGTTCGAGGTTCAGGGTTGCCAGCCTACAGAGTACGGTGTGACCGATGGTTGCCTCCGGGCACTGGGTAATGAGTGGTGGCAGAGAAGACCAGAAAATCTTCGCCCTTGACGCCAACACTCCACTTGCCCGGTTTAGGTTCGACTCTCCAGAAAAGAGGCGAACCACGGCGATGGCAGTCGGCTGACGACGCAAACACTCTTGTCGACATCCGGGAATGTGCGCACTTGCCGACATCATCCCTCCCAGCTGCGCACACCCTCTATCCACCTCAGGCTCTGGACTCCCTGATGCGTTTGAACGTGTCCCTTTTGCGATTTGGGGGAAAGGAGGTGGAGGTAGGCTCGCACCTCGGCTTTGATGAGAATGAAACATACCCTTTTGAGATTCCGCCTTGATTTGAGACTCGGTCAGGCTCGGGACAGGCCTGCTATGTTCGGGTCAAGTGCAGGCAGACCGGGGCGAGGCAAGCCGAGTCAAGTCATCTCAAGTCAGATCAAGCCCATGGGAATTCGGTCATCTTATTGTCTGCGCCATCTCCGTTCTCGTGCCGTGGATGTCAGGAACGGCGGGAGACGCATGCGAGGCTTGCGAGGGAGGGCGGGTGACGGGTACCGGGCACCCAGTCGAGACTACAAGGGCAGAGTACCTGGGCATGCAGGTACTTGGGCCAAGTATCTTTTCCTCCTCGGTACGTACCCCAGAGCAGGGGTACATGGGTGAGTTGGGGCCACCCCTGGGCCTGGGATCAGAACAACCTGGGAAGGCACATGGGCCTCTCCCGCCCTTCTGCTCGGTCCCCTGCCCGGCCCTGTCCTGTCCTGCCCTGCCTAGATGCTATCCCTATCCCATCCGCCCATTCATCCATCCATCCATCCATACATCCACCCACCCTTCGCCATCATCCATGGACCGGCCCATGGGACCATGATGCATCCTTACCCTTACCAGCTTGCAGCACAGTACATACAAGTACCCGGCCAGCCAGAGTGCCACTCTTTTCCCTCCCTGCCCCCGCCGTCGTGGAACCCTTCCGTCTGTTGCCAAGTTGGAGAGAGGACTTGCTTCCATTCCTTCTCCATTCCACCCATACGTGCCATGACCTACCATGAACCGTACCTACCTAACCTAACCTGAATCTGAATCTGAATCCGACCCGACAACCTACCTGACTTGACCTGACGGCCCAGCCAGGCCCAGGCAGGACCAGGAGCACATACCTTCCTTCCACCTTCCACCTCCAGACCTTACCACCTCCCACCTCCCACCTACCCAGGCAGCTCGTACGTAAGTAAGTAGCCGGGGAGCACCTCAGGAATACATTACCATCCTTCCCGCACCTTTTTGCACTCCGCCTCACCGTCGTCCATCCCTTTCCCCTTTCTACCTTGTCTTTGTCTCGACTCTGCCCTGTCTCGCCTGTCGGCCTCCTCGTCTCATTTTCCCATTCCAATTCCGCCGTCGGGCCCGACCCGACGACCCCCACCCGCACACTGCCACTGCCACAAGCTCATAGAAAAAGGTACGGCTTGATCTTGATGTGCGCGCGCGCCTGAGTGTGTTTTGTCGGTGTACGTGTGCGTGCCTGCTCGTCAACGTCGCCGGCCACGCTTACTCGACTGGACTGGACTAGACTCGAGCTCGACTCGATTCCCATTTACGGTGTCGTTCACTTGCCTGATGATGATGACTTGACGCACTGTGGCTCTAGAGTCTCTGCTGGCCTTTGTTCCTCTACCATTCCTCGCCCCTCCTCACCTGACCTCCTCCCCTCCCTCCCCCCAAACCAACCGAGGAAGAGGGCACTGCGCTCTGCTGCACTCGGCTCTCTGCTGACAGTTGGCTGCAAACGTTACTTGCCCCTTTGCCCCCTGCAGGCACGCCTCATTTTGTTTTTCTGGCTCCCTTCATTTACCCGTTTTATTCTTGTGCCATGATATCATCCATGACCGTGGCGTTCCCGCAACGAGTTGGAGAACCGGGCCCTGGACTTGTAGGCTGACATTCCTCGAGGGGCGGCAGAAGATCTAGAAGATTGGAGAGTACGGTCCGGAACTGGGCTTTGGAACGAACGGAAACTGCTTTCGGCTCGGCTCAGCTCATTCGCAGCGAGGCCTTGGTGAAGGTTGGCGAGTTCGAGTTCGAGAAGCGAACGAACCAACGGATCGCGGCCAGACCCAGAAACGGTGCAGACCCTAGGGCGACCACTTGTGCCGCGCATGGTGCCTTGGTGTCTAGGGGCTTTTCCTTTTGAGATTGACGAGCCCTGCCAGCGAGATCAGGACCTGATCTAGTAACCTTCCGGGCTGTCCCGCTAAGTACTTACCGTACCAAAACCACCCACCTGGGCAGGCAGAGGAAGGGGGGTACTGGGCTACACTGGGCCGTACTGTGCTGTGCCGTACCGTACCGTACCGCACCGTACCGCACCGTACCGCACCGTACCGTGCCTGCAGACTGGCAGACCTGCAACCGCGACTGCTGGTGCTGGCTGCGACTTTGCGACTACACACGCCCCGAAGCCTGGCGAGGGAGTTTCCGACTATAAGGAAGGGTCTTCCCGCCCCGAATCCGCCCAAGGGAAACTTCTCCACACTTTGGGAATTTTGCATCGGCCCCTTCCAAATTTTGCCAAATTACATTGCACGCAGCAACCTCAAAGTGATAAAGAGAGAACCCTCTTTTTCTTTCCTTTGCGACACCTCGTCCTCGACACGACACCACACACCACACACACTCGCACTCACACACACCAGCGCAACATCACTCCATCCACAGCCTTCAATTGACTGGGGTCTCCACCCCACCTGGATCGCGTCCACCTCAACCCTGGTGCATGCAGCATCACATTGAGCTGTGCGACAAGTGTGGTACACAACACCACTCACTACGATTAGAAGAACTGTTGCCACCACCACTGCGAATACCGCCGCCAGCTAGGTCGCTTGTTTTGACACGGCTCAGCGGTCACGCCACTGTCGCAAAGCAGCTGCCTCTAGAATCACCTCTTGGGAGACACGGAAAACAATAGACTCCTGACGACCCTCCTGCAACTTGCTCGTTCGGCTTGTTCGAGCCGTTGTCAGGCTGGCGCCGAGCACAGTCCGCCAGTTTAGGATGTCAGATCAGGACGGCGGCAGGGGCCATCCCCCTCGAGAAAGCCAAGAGTCCGCCTATCCACCGCCTCCTGGTGAAGAAGACGATCGCTCAAGGCCAACCTACCACCACTTGCCTCCTCCTCCTCAAGCGACCGTGACTCTTCCGCCAATTCATGACGCTCATCCGGCTTATGGCGCGAGCCGATACCCACCACCTCCAGATCCTAGGTCGCGCGGAACCTACTCTGCTTCTCCCACCGGTGGCCCAAACGGCTATCCTGCTCCGCCTGGCAGTATGTATAACTTGCCTCCTGTCCAGGCGCCGCCGGACCAGCGACACTACGGAGTTGAGCCACGCGACTACTACTCACGCGGCGGGTCCTTCCCGCCACATCCTCAACCCGAGCCTTACAACTATGGTGGCTACCGACCTCCTTCCGGGCCTCCCTACGGTGCCTACCCTCCTGAGTATGCGCGCGGACCAGGCGGTCCGCCGCAACAGGCAGCACCACGCCAGAGGACTTCGATAGCATGTCGTTACTGCCGCAAACGTAAAGTTAGTAGCAAATTTCTCTTGCGACGTTTTGAGGACCCGGCGTGCGCGGTTGCTTACTGACCTTGAACGTGTCTAGATTCGTTGCAGTGGTTACAGCCAGACCCCCGATGGAAAGTGTACAAATTGCAGAAAGACGGGCAATGAGTGCATTTTTCAGCCTGTTTCCTCATCCTCGACCACTGCTTTCGTCCCAGTGTCGGCTGTACCCGGTGGTGTGCCTCCCGGGACGCCTCTATTTGGCGCCTTTGGACAGCCGTTGCCGCAGGGAGGAGCGCAACCAGGACAGCCTGGAGGGGCGCCTCAGCCACCCGCTGGTGGCTCGCAACAGCCGTATCCTCCGTCGGACAATTACGCGCTACCCTCGCCCACGGGCTCTTACTACCCACCACCTCCGGAAGACCGAAGCGGTGTCCCACAGCGACGCCTGCACGAGGAGGAGCACGGGCAACGCTTGCCCCCTCCGCACGTCTACGGTGAACCTGACCCACGAAGACGCTCTCCCGCATCCTCCGCGCCTGGTGGCACTCCGCCGCAATACGAGTACCCGCCTCCAGACAGAACCTCTACTCCTGGCCAACTCCGAGAGAGTCCTAATGCGCCTTCTCAAGCTGGGCAGCAAGGAGGCAGTGTGATGGCCTTGAGCAGCTTGATGGAGCACCCACCTCCACGGCCGCCGCCAAGCTCTGACTCGAGCCGTGATATCGATCAGAACATGCTTGGACGCCTGAACCGACGGACCTAGGAGGACTGGGAGGCTTGAGGAGAATTGGTCACGGTGCGGAGGTGCCCGAAAGCCATGCGCAGGTGATACTTGGGAACCGGGACTCGGTCGATGACGATTCACGGAAGAATGCGCCTTTGCGTGATGACGAGCAGGCTCACAGCGCCACACGTGACGGTAGCCAGGCCTATGGACGGCATCGATACATCGCTGCTGGACAGTCTTGATCCAACCGTTTGTGAAGCACGCGTTTTCTTAATCTTTCGACTTTCCAGCATCCTCACACTCATCGACAACTCGGTTTGCTTTTCTCGAACTACTATGATACCCCCCGATTGTTTGGAAGATTGTCTGCCATGGATTAACTTGGCCGCTCGGGCATGGATGGGTAATTTGGAAGTTGGACGGAATGCCGCGTTACTCGGTGGGACGAGGCGAGAGAAGAAGGGATTACAGGAGATCGGGAATTGAAACTCAGGCCCACTATTGCATGTCTTGAAGAGCCAAATGCCACCAAACGATGGGTATGCCAGCAACAAACAGAGGCGGCGGAGGGGAACTCGCACGATTTGGCAACTGCTGTGGGCGGGCATTCAGCAACTAGATCTCCCCGGTTTGGCGACAAACACTCCTAACAGCTAGCCCTCTGCTTTTTCTCAGCTATGCTTATTTCTGCAGCAAGGAAACATAAGTAATGCCGGGGATTCATCTTTTTTTTTCTTCTTGGTTTTTTTATGTACCTCTCATGCATCTGTCTTGGCATTTTGTTTCTTCCTGCCTCATGTACAGAGGCGAGAGCACCACAGCAAATTTGGAGGGGTTGAAAGAAGGATTGCCTCACGGCAGAAGAGAAGGCTGCAACAAAGTCTTGCTTTTTATTTCGTTCTGTTTTCGTGACTATTGTGCTATTTCCTGCCTCCTTTGCTTACTTTTGGGTCATGTCTGTCCATGCAAAAATATGTTGTTTTTGTTCTCCGTTCTCTTTGTACAAATCATCCATCCCTCTTCCACTTACAACATCTTATCTATCTTGTCTGGCCTACCTGCAAGCTTGTTCTGGCGGGGGGGGGGGGCAGGGGAGATAGGGCAAACCAAAGACGTGCGTTGGAACAGTTCTGCGAGGAACGAAACAATGACAAATATAACATGATGTTGCTTTGGTCCGATCAAGGCCATTGACAGCCAAAACACACAAGATTTCCCGTCTCCCTCCCATCTCTGCCGTGCTATGCTGCTTGGTTCCGTCCCGTCATCTGTGAACCATCCCACCTCCCCACGATCCGAGACCCGAGGCATCGAACTGCCCACAGCCAACCGATGTGACTTCGTTTCAAGAAAGCCTCGACCTGCCTGTCTGACGGGCGGCCAGGCGGTAAAAACATAGTTTAGACTACAGAGGGCACTAGACGGGAAAGACGCCCTGCGTGATGCCATTCCATCACTTCGTCGTTTCTGCCGTGAATTTCGTCTAGAGGACGAAACGCCGAAGACCCAGAAAGCATAGTTCCCGCAGGCCCAAACCTTGAGATACCCGTTCTCTACCCAAGTATTGCCTACCTGGGTAATGTTACAACGGCGGGGCGGGCAGCTCCCCTCTCGTCCCCCTCCCCCCTTTGCGGGTGTGGCCCGACAGAACAGGCAGGATAAAGAGAACAAGACATGACGGACCAGGCAGAAAAGCCAAAGACGAACGACGACGGGCGCGGGTGGGCTGCAGTAGCCTCCCTCCTAGGATGCTGGCTGCGTGTTCCGCGTCCCCCCTTCCCACTTCTGATCCCCTCCCCTCGGCGTCAGCTGCGCCCAGGCGGTCCAGAGGGGTTATTTTCTGTGGAGCTGGGCCGCAGCGAGATAGGCTCGCGATGAGGGGTCCGGTTCCATCGTTCGAGGCTTTGCTGTGCTGGGATGTTGGCTGCAGTTCTGGGCGCACACTGTGCCAGCAGGTACGAGCAGTGCCTCCGCTTGGGTTGACGGGGGGCAGGACGGTCGACAGAGACTGTGTGAGAAACAGAGAGTGGGAGAGGAGTTCGGCCGCCTCCAAAGTGCGTGCGCGCATTGGCTGCGTGCGGGTCTGCCCTTGCAGTGGGCTGGCCGGGCATGGGTTTGGGCATTGTGGCATTGACGGGCCTCGCTGTCAGCCACGAGGTTTTCCCAAGTTGGTGCTGGGATTTGGGGGTTTGGCACGGGCTGGGAAAACGTTTGGCACGCCGGATGGACTGTGTCGTAGGGATAATCTCCGACGCGTGCCTCCTGGGTATTAGCCTAGGTAAGCAGGTGATGGTCGAGTGGGAACGGATGGGCGTGTTCGTTTGTCCACACAGCACAGCTGCAACGTTCACATCCGAGGTTGTCCTGGATGGCACTCTGCTCGCTCAGGTCCCGAGGTCATGACTATCATCACCGCCATTGCCCCTCTGTTCACGGCAGAGAGTGTACGGTGCTGGGCCCCTCCCAGCTGGAGCAAAAGGCCTGTGTCCTGTTGGAGACCATCGCGTAGAGCTTGGTCAGGAGAGGGCCTCGCAGCAGCGGGCATCCTTGCTCAGCAGCAGGAGCGTGAGTAACGGGCTCGGGCAGGCCAACGAATGACTTACATTGGATTTTTGGCGCCGGCAGAATTGTGGGAACACACTGGCGTACCAAAGCACTCAGATAAAGGGTTCGTCTGGGCTCGTGGGGTCAATACATAATAATTGCTGCAGTAGCCAGGGGGGTCGCATGGTGGATCGGGTGGGCAATTGCTGCGAGATGATGGATCTTGATCGGAGAGGGGACCGATCACGGTGTCCTTTGGCGAGCATACGTGCTTGATGTGTTGTCAGGTTGTACTGATACGATTCGGGGGGGGGGGGGGGGGAGAGGTGCAGACGGGATGGCTGGTTGACGTTCCGCGGGGCGGATTCTCCGTTGATGGCAACATCACTTGTCAGTCTGTGGCAGTCGGTGTCAGGGAAGTGAGGGAAGTGAGAGTAAGTGGCATTCGGCCTCCTTCCAAGGATGGATACCACACACACATCACCCATCCTTCCTTCCTTTTTCTCTCATTCTCCTTCGCCTCTCTCTCACCCTCTCTCTCTCTTTCTGTGTTCGTATACCTTCTGAAGTCATCACAGCTCAGATCCAGACAAATTTGCACGTAGGCGATCGCGTAGATAGGTAATTAGCGTAGCACCTGCAGAGTACTCCAGGCGCTGGGCAACTGTCAACGAAATATTGCCTTGGCCAGCAGCCGCCAACTTTCCTCTCTCTCGTAGACGGAAGCTACTGCAGGATTGTTCAGTTGACGGGCGGGATGATCCATGGGTCCATAGTTCCTGCCCTGTTGCTTGGCCTCGGCCCCTCGTAGGCAGAGCTGCCTCAGCTCCAGAGCTCCGTTTCTGTAGCCGCCAATACGGCTGAGACTGCGCTGCGGCTGCTGCACACCTGCACTCCCTTGTTACTGACCGTCTCTTCTTGCCGTCCACGCAGGCAGACTGGTAAGCACCGTATTCACATTGGCCTTCAAAACGTTGGAGTGCCATTGTGCCTTCTGGCGCAGTCAGCGGCCAAAACACCAACGCTCATGCTGCTCAGATAAACCTGGGTGCCCTACTCGAATCTGTACTGTGGTATCAAGCGGCACATTTCCTCATAAAGTAAACATTTCCACCGGGGCTACCTAGACTTAATTCATTCATTCCTTGATCTCTCGAGCCGATAGAAAATCACCAGCAGCGGCGGTAGAACCCACCGCTGCTGGGAGTAGCCCATCACGCTCGTCAAAGCAACCATCAACGGCACACATCACAGTCGTGAAGTTTGGGACCGTCACCTCCGTTGTTACAATCCACATCCAAGCTGGTGCCGGTTTTTGGTGACATTGTGCGAGGGGTGCTCGACAGACCGGCAGCGTTAGGCCAGTCACTGACCGAACTTTGGTAGACAACGCCGCCGCTAGAAACACGCTGGGCTGCCTTGTCCAGGTCCTTGACGCAACTTTGGTCACCACGCTTCATCCTGTTACCAGTCTGAGCGTTGGGCAACCCCTATCCCGCCTGGTGCTGGGCACCGCCCATCGTTGTCCGACTAGCGGACCGAACCCAAGTGAATCGGCACGATCGGCCAGCACTGGATCTACCACTCGCGCATTGCGAACAGGCAAGCACTAACTCGGAGTCTCCGTTCGTCTACCACGCTGAATCACGCCACACGTCACAAGCACCAAGGGACTATGCCGCTTTACAGGCGGGATATCCCAGCTTTAGGCTCGCGACACGGCCCGGCCTTGGAGCTACCGAGCTACCAGCCGTCCACGGAGATTTGCCCGGAGCTGTACCAGCGAACCAAACGACAAAATTCCCACGGTACGCGATCATGTGGCCGGTCCAGGCAAGAGCGGTGGCTCAAGAAGGTTTGGGCAGGAAAGTCGAGCCTTGGTGGCTGTCCATCCACGAGTCGAGATGTCGGTTGTATTCCTCAGACCAGCGGTCTAGCGCCAGGCGACCAAAAAGGCTGACCAAGGCCGAGCCAGCCACAGCTGACCTGGTTCGGTGGAAGGTACAGCCTAGCATGTGCGCTACCTTCAAGAGAATAACTTTACCCAGTCCTGGTGTTCCTTGCTTCTAGCTCAACGTGCGAAGCCGACCAGGACACCCATAACTCGCTGCCGCGACACCCATGGAAGGCTACAGACCCCTCTTCCCGGCGAGTTAGCCAGCGGCTGCGCATGAATACAGTCAGCGAGCCAGGCTGAATGCCCTGGTGCGCAATGTTTCTGAGCGTTGCACAGAATCCAGCACTGACCACTCGAGCGTCGACGGGAGTTTGGGTCCTATTTTGACCTGGACGGTCTACCGAAGAACCGTGTCCAAATCTTGCCTCCAGTGCTGCATTCTCTGGCCAACTGTGCATCGCATCACAACGGACTTACTGCTCCATGAGGCTCTCAGGCAGACGGCTTGCGCTCTGGCGCCACCAAACGTCCCTCTCTCGCTCGCGCGGACAAGGCATGGAGAGGTAGCTTGCTTCCGGAGCAGAAGTAAGAGGGTCATGTGCTTGCCAACCTGCTGCAAATAGCCGCGTGCATGCAGAGCACCTGCAAGCTACGCACTCGGCACCTGTTGTATTGGTTGGACTGGCTGACGCAAGGAGCAGTTGCCCACGATGCTGCAGGCTTCCAAGACCAAAAGAGGCATGGACCTTTCCTTTCGAAATCGTACGACTGCATCCCGAACGTCCGAGCTTGATAAAACCACACCCTGGCCTTCCTCTCTCGCGGATAAGATGGATTTTACGAGAAAGCGACGCTTCAGCCTTGTCCAGTCGCAGGACTCAGCCTTGTTCACAAGCTCGTCCGTGCCAACGCGTTTCGGCATCACGAAATGACACAGACGGAAAGTCCAGGCAGAAAGCGGCAGCTTTTGCCCTTGTTATCCTACCCCACGTTCAAAACATTGCGCAGCAAGTGGAGGTTGTGCCTTGTGCACGAGTTCAGAAGGCTGGTACCCTTCGTGGCGCAGACCATTGTTGGCTGTGCTCAAATTTGAGAGATGGGTGTGCTTTAAAAAAGCGGCAGTTGACTATGTTAACTTCGCGCTGGAGTTTCGCTCCACCTCGGTGTCGCCAATTAGTGGGCTGCAAACCCCTGTGGTGACCTGCGAAGAGTGCACCTGAACGCAGCTGTGGGCCCTAAAAGTAGGTTCGAGATCTTTCCCGGAGGAGATGCGGAATACTTCGCTAATCGTCTCACAGGACTGCATCTGGAGTCGTTGTAGAAGCCTGATCTATTCTTGTGGATCATGTGGCGCTACTTGTGGGAGCTGCTGGCGCTCGTCGGGGCGGCGGCTTCATCAGGTATTTGACATCACGGATCGAAACCCCCTGATGATGTAGCGTGCCTTAAACCTCCCAACGAGATGTATTCTGACCGAGCCTAATGCTGCAGGTGCCTTGGAAACCCCACTCGACCGAACCGTTCCTTGCGAGAGTCACATGCGAAGCCGAAGAATTTGCGACGATGCGATGACCAGTCTTCGGATGGAATCAAGAAACATAAGCCTAGAGGCTCTCTTAAAGGCTACACAACGAACTCATACGGAAGCAATGGCCCACTTGTATTTACAAGCTTGGACTGCTGACTCTGAAGCCACCGACATATAATCAAGGTAATCCACCCCGTTGTCCAAAACCTGAGGAAAGCACGATCAATTCAAGACTTGGAGAATTGCGAAGACACAAAGGCAGCCCAGCAAGCTTGTGGGAATGACCTTAAGTCTAATTTGACAACAATATAGTCGGAATCTGGCTGGGTCTCGTCTATGCGACCGGGTGGAGACTTCGGCACCTTGGGTTGCAAAGAGCATTTCGCTACACCGCTCTGACTTGCGCTACTTGCAAAGACTCTGGAAAGGGACTCGAGAGTCTTGGGCGTTTACTATAGTCCGATTTTACTCGTTCACGACAACCATGGTCTGGAAACTGTACCCAAGCGTTGGCGCTGCGGCACTGCACCAAGATTCATCCGAGGCCTGGCCCTCAAGCGAGGAGGCCATATGCCACCATGTGGCGCTTGTTCAACCTCGATCATGGGAGGGAAACGAGGCCACCTTGTGCCAGAGAGACTCGACCAAGTTGTTGAGTCTCAAACCTAGTTTTTGTGGGACCAAAGAGTGTGTTTACTCGCTGCAGTGGCTCCCAAAATCTGCCGAGTTGGAGAGCTCAGCTGACCACCACACCTTTTTTCCCCCTGCACTTTGGCAATCCACAACGCAGCATCATGAAACATTTCGAGCCCAATCAGCGGGGCAAGTGTATCCCATCCTGGAGCTTTGAGCTGCCTCGCCTGTGCAGAGCTGAGAACTCCGGGCGAGCGAGCTGCTTGACCGGGTGCTGCGTTCATGCTGAGCACAAAGCGACCCACTCTTCTCGGCAAGCATTGTCTACCTGGTACTGGATCAAGAGAGTACATTTCTTTTTGTGTCTGCTTGTACTTTGACTGTGAAGCTGATATCTTGGCAACTATACTTCTCATTGGAGGCAGCTTCACCCGCACCACGTCTCAGGAGCCTCACCGTGCCAGCTCCTGACTCAGCCTCCCTGCAGTGGTAGGCATATTACAGCACATAGACCAGCTCCAGTCCTCTGCTCGTCCGCTGATTTTGTTGGGACCCAGCAAGAGGGATCCAATGGCCAGTCCATGTCTTGGCTGGAGAACTGTGGTCATATACCCCCCATCTGGCGTGTGCGGAGAAGCGAGTGCGAAGTTTAAATGACGACAATTTGCCGTGAATGGTTCAGCGGAACGGCACGCAGCGCGGGACAGTGGGAAATTCGAGAAGCAAAAAGAACACGCGCACAGAAGCCAGGGGGAGAAAAAAGCAAGTTGGCGGTTCGTCGCGCAACAGGGGTTGTGCCGGCTGCTGAACCATGCGCTCATGCCCCCCCCCCTCATGGGAGATCCCGCGCATCCCGTCCCCATCCACTGGCTCACATGTAACGCAGGACACATAACATCTTGGAGGCATGCACTTCCCTTCCCACCTCTGGCCCCCATTCCCGTCCCGCTTGCCTGGGTCCCGCAAGGTCGGGGGTTTCGGGCAAGCCGCATCGTCGCTTGTCTCGGGACAAGGGGGCATTCGATGGAGGGGAGCGCACGAGGTCGAGAGGACGGAGGAGCCACGTTGGACAGGGGTGGGGGAAGAGGGGGCTGGGAGGACCGATCGGAGTGACGAGTCAGAAAGAAATTTCACTCCTCGACCTGCCGTGTGCCTTTCGGACCTCGACCTCGAATGGCGCCGGGGCTCTGGCGATTGCCCGTGGGATGCGCACGTACTGTGCAGGCGAGCTTGTACGGGTTGGGACTGTGCGGTAGATCTGCCCGCTTCACGTGGGCGGGCGGGCCTGGCCCTCACCCCTCCTCCTCCCCCCTTGCACTCCTCGTTGGATGCCTCTCCTGTGTTTTCCTCTTTCCGTTTTTGTCTCCCTCTCGTCTCGCGTGATTGATTCGCACCGGGCCGATGATGCAAGCATATGTGGGTGTGGGGACCCTTGTTGTTGCTGAGGCCCGCACAGTGTTTCGGTGGCGTGGGTGTGTGCGCCCCCATCCCTCCCTTGTGGATACCTGACCTGTTAACACCGACATATCGGTTAGCACCGAGTACAAGTGTGCGGTGTACGGCCACAGCGGCAGCGCGAGGCGAGCATTGCGAAGCTGCACCACAGGTGCTTGAGGTTGAGAGGGCGGTGAAGTCGAGGTTTTTTTTTCTCAAATCAGCAACGGTGGCAATGCATATGAATTTGTTGAGACTAAAGGGGTTCTTCTCTTTTGTACACTGGGTGCATGCCTTTGGTGCGATGTGGTATCGCGCCAACCGCGGGTAATTTAGATTTGGCGATGCTTGCATCGTCTTGGGAAGATGGTGGCAGCCAAGTTTCTCAGCGTTGAGAGTCCAAAAGCTTTCATTCATTGGAAGGTGACTGAGAGCTTCAATCGACACTCGGTTATCCTGTGATGCCCCGTGTACTCGCTTCCGGGTTGTATACGGGGTGAGCTCTGAAGTCGAGAGCAGTGCAGTCCTGAGCCCCGGAGGACACGATTGTTGCCTTTTGGGGAGCCAAGTGGTGACCTGTTCTTAGCGTTTACGGGATGTAGTCCATTGATGATGCACATTCATTGTGCTGAGCGTATCTATTGGGTTTATGACCTGTTTGGTGCGCAGAAGTGCGTGGGATATTCAAAGGTGTTGGGTAAAGCATGGACCACCACGGAGGGAGACATCTGAGTCTAAATAGATCCAGCCCTAGTCAGTAAGATCAAAGGCTCAGGTATTTTGCTCCCGGAACTCCCACGAAAATTGCTGAATGTTGGATTCTCGGCACCGGGATGCTCTCCTGTAATTGCGCGACGCCTGGTGTATCTTCCAGGCTGGACACTGTCATCTATCTCCCAGGAGGGCTAAGCTGTATATGTCATTTACATGGGTTCGTCGGTGGGATTGGTCGATTTAGGTGTACTGAGTGACGATATGTTAATGTCTTGTGCTTCTCGTGCTTCGTGCAGATATCTATTCTACCATCTTCCTTCGCTTCAGTTCAAATTGCATGAGCTTTGAGAACACACACCCCCCCCTCCTTTGCCGAATACCGCTGGGATGTTCTCACTGCCGGTAAAATCGAACAAACCTAAACCTATCAACGTTTATGAGACTGCCGGGCCTGTAACTATCGTATTCACAAAATGGCCGTGCCGCATATGCAGAGACCAGACAGCCTGAGCGAAACTCTCACATCCCTTTGACAGCTGCAGAACTCCCCACTTTCCTACAATGCGATCTCATGGCTCTGGTGATATAATTACCATTTCCACGTGCCCAGCGCCGCAGGGTATCACAGCTTGGACTTGTAGATCCGGGACCGCCCTCTCAGGGGACCGGGCGCACCAGAGGCCCAAGTATATACTCACTCCCGTATCCTATAGGCCCATGGAGCCTCTATATGCCTCGGCAATCAATAACATCGCACGAACGTACAATTTGCTTGAGTTTACTAGTGCGAAAGAAGATTGGTCCTCGTCGTGTTTCCCAATCCCGCTAGCTGCACCCATGGGCGGGTGGCGCCCGCGAGATACTCCGTCCCGCGCATCCCGCCACGGTCTTCCGGGGAGTTTGGGGAGATCGCTCCGGCCTAGAGGGATAATATTCCTCGTTGTCATCTAGGAAACGGCCCGGACGTTTGGGATTGGAATGGGACGCGCGCGCGCTCTGTGTTGAGGTCATGTTCCATCGGTTGACTCCCGCGGTGAGTTTTGGAGAGCCCACCTCTTTTATCACAGCACCATGTGGAATTCTAGTTTCTTCAGAAGCTGGCCAAGGAGAGGGTGGTATTTGTTCCCCGAGAGTATCATGGGCTGCAAGGAGACGACGTCTCGCACGAACTATCTGCTGGCGTGCGAGGTTCGGCATTACGTTTCTGGCTGTTGTCCCATTGGGGTATCGGAAACGCCACGATCCAGACGGCCACCTCTTTCTTATTCCCAGAACAGATTTTCCTATTTCAAATGCCGCGGAGACGGCTCGGAGGTCAGAAGTCGGGCGTGGAGAGCCAGCAAGGCTGACTGATCAAAGAGTCAAAGAGTCCGGTGACTGGAGCATGCACCTCCGCCCGGGGCTAGTCAGAACTGAGCCTGTTTCATAAGGTGTGCTTTTGATTCCCAGATATATAGATCATCAGCACGACTCGAGCTGCCAGCATTGAATCCTCGTTCAGTAGTATTTCGTGTATAAACTAGTGGCCGTGCTAACAAAAACAGTTGACCAGAGCATGAAGCAGGGCTGATACTCGCGCCGTGCGCTATTTGGAGGCTGATAAGCTGGGGCTGCAAGACTGGCAATGCTAGATGGAGTTTTCCATTGGTGATGCTCAAGGTGAGGACAAATGGTGGTTTTGTGCGCCACACGAATGCTCAAGTTGGGCCACGCCATCGAAGATTTTGCTGCCGTGTTGTTGCCCTGCCTACAAATCTGCTGGATGACCTTGTTGGGCACACTTGTGTGTATCTGGCTTTATAATCCAAGTATTGGAGGGGACTAACTTGAGCAGCTTGCCTTCCTCCTGAAGGTGGGCTCATGCGCACCCATAACTCCGGACTCGTGGTCAGGGGTGTCTGTCTCCATTCACCGCGTAAGGTCTGGTCCACCTTCCCGCCCGCTCTACGCTAATATATCCTTCCCCTCCTGGTTTCCTGATTCTCTCCAGCCTGCTTTCTCAAAAGGCTCCCAGAACCAGTGAAGCGGTGGACCCTTGCTCCAGGCCAGATGGGTAAGCGGACAATGTAGAAGACAGGCTCGCAAACAAATATCATATGCCCGGTCGCGCACACCGAACATGAATAGAATAGGTACCATCGCTCCTCGTGGACCAAGAACAAGGTCTAATGTGCCAGGCTCCCGTCCATACATTCATCTGTCGGCCCAACCGGCCTCATGTCTTGTCGGCGGCACCCTGGCTCCATCGTTTCTCCCCGCCTCTCTGAAGAGAAGGTACCGCGCCACCCTGTTGAACAAGAAGGCTCAAGTTGACCCTTGTCTGTCACTCTCGGTATATGCGTGTGGCTTCCCGGGCCTCTCCTTCCCCTCGAAGGGCCCCTGATCGAGAGGAAGCAATCGTATATCACTTCAAGACCGCGATGTCCACCGTCCCCAAGGTGTGTGTCGACGGCCAGGATAGACAGGCTCTTGTATAAATATAGCTGTGTCTCCACAATACGGCTTCCTTGTCCGGCTTTCCTCCCTCCTCCCCAGGGGACGTACTGGTACAATGATGCTCGATCTCCCACATGTGCTGCTGGCCAGTATTATCATTTAGATATGTAGCACCCAGGGTGCCCAGGGGACACGCGCCCTCCTCGTTGTATTGGTCCATGGCTTCGGTTCTGGGAAATGTGTACCAGATGACAAAGGCGAATTGGGTCTCGCCGCCCGGGGGGGGGGGCGCGGAAATCTGAGATGGCTCTAAAGGGGAAGCATCACAGCAATGCCATCACTCGGCCGACACGTACGATTTCACATGGAAGCCTCCAAACATAGTAGTTGAAACAAGACATGACCCAGCAAGTGGAAGAAGAGAGGGATAGGAGCGCCAAGTGGGCGAAATTTGGTGTGGGTAGACCATGATGTGGGTAGACAGACCATGCCAAAATTGTACGTTCTATTTACAACCCTTATGCCCATGTAACGAACAACATATCATAAAACCCCGATGAATGAACCCGCGCCCCCGTTGGTTTGACGCCCTTGCTCCATGTGTGCCGTGCGGTGCTGTGCTGTGATGCGCCTGGTTCCATTTGGGCGCGCCACGAGAATGATCTTCTTTCCTTCCACTCAATTTGATTCACCGCCCGACCCCGAAATGGTGGATGTTACTGGCTTCCAATAAAATGCTTCTGGTTTGATCTTCCTTTTTGTAATCCGATTCAGTCATGCTCTCGAGCAATGCAATGTGTCTTTCTCCCTTGCACAGTCTGGGACCATGGTTGGAAATCCTTCTTGTTTCCCCCCTTATTAATAACTGAATCATTCATTCATCGTCGGACATCTCTTCGTCCTCGTCGTCTTCCTCCTCATCCCCCTCGACATCCTCCTCCTCAGGCGTGGCCTGCCGGCTGGCCTCGACAGCGACCTCCTCGCGGACGCTCATTTCGCCGGTGCCGGCGTTGCGCTCGACGACGAAGCACCGCTCGGCAAAGACGCCGCGCTCGTTCTGCCTGCGCCAGGGCTCGCTGAGGCGGCGGACCATGACCTTCTTCCACCCGCCGACGTTGATGGTGATGGACCGCCAGGGGACCCCGCCCGCCTTGTTTCGCACGAGGAACTGCAGCGTGCGCATGGCGGCGTCGCGGTCGCGGTCGGCGCCCGGGTGCACGACCTCGAAGGGGTGCAGGACCGTCTGCACGTGCAGCGTCAGCGTGTGCAGGGCCGGGAACGAGCAGGCCGCCCGCAGGAACTGCGGCGGGTCCGTGTGCACCACGTCCATGTCCAGCTCGAGCACCTGCACCTGGCGCATCCGCTGCGCCAGGAGCGCCAGGTCCTCGTGGTAGATGGTCGGGCAGCGCCGGTCCTCCTCGCCGAAGCCCGTGTGGTCGCGGAGCCGCAGCGTCGTCAGCGAGCGGGCGTGCGACAGCAGCGCGTCCACGGGGAAGTGGTACGTGTGCACCGTAATCTGCAGCGTCGACAGGGCGCGGATGTACGACCTGACGAGCAGGTTGAGCCGCCGCGTGGCCTCGATGCGCAGGTCCGGGAGGTGCGCGCTGAAGTCCTCGCAGTGCAGGGTCTGGAGGTTGGCCAGCTCGCGGAAGCTGACCGAGTTGAGGAAGTTGAAGACGGGCACCGAGATGAGCTCCAGGGACGTGATGCGCGAGAAGTCCCAGTGCCGCGCCACCTCCTCGGCGCTGTGCCTCCAGTCGTAGGAGCGGAGGGTCAGCTCGCGCAGGGGCGGGAGGCGCTCGTGCGGCGCGAAGTCGAACTGCGTGCCCTGGCCCCGGTCCTCGAAGTGGAGCGTCTCCAGCCGCCGGGCGGAGAGGAGGAGGTGCTTGAGGGAGTTCAGCCGGGTGACGAGCGGCGGTGCCGGATGGGCCATCTTCAGGGACACCAGGAGGTCGATAGGAATGGCTCGGAGGTAGGTGTTGCGCATCTCGCCCTCAAAGTCCCGGAGCGGAAGCTCCTCGACGTACAGCTTGGTGCGGTTGTAACGAGTCTGCTCTGCATTTAGAATATCAGATGGTAGCCAGAAGCGGCCCGAGCGGGCGTCTCTGTCCACGTATCGCCATCTATGTTGGCAGCATGGTCAGTACGTCCGAGACAATGGTCGAGATAGACAGTCGCCCACGAGTTGCGGGAGACCACTTACCTTACGGATGAGAGTTTCCGTATTCTCTCCAGGATCCTTTTGATCCCGGCGGGGTCCAGGTCGCTTCTGGCAACGACATGGTGTGTGTGAGCACTGATATGCTCGAGAGCCTGGGGGAAGTGTTGCCCTGCATCCTGGGCGACTATCCGCTCCGTCAGGACCAGTGTCTTGTAGGCGATAGGTATGGCTATCTGGTTGAACCGTTGGCAGAGAAGCCGAGCGGTCGAGACATATTGAGTATCGATATCTCGGAGCTGCCAGATTTCAGTTAGTACAGTCCTCAGGGAATAGACGGCCTCTCCAAAGGCATATCAATTAAGAAACCAGAATATGGAGAATGGAGGGATCGTCACCAACCTGTTCAAATATCAAGGCCAGGAGCTCAGTACTCAGGTCGTTCAGAGACCAACTAGGCTGATATTGATGATGATGGTGCTGCTGCGAGTGTTGATATGTCTGGCCTGCGCCCTGAGCACATGAGGCCATTCGCTTCCTCCGCTGGCGAGCACATTCAGCCAGTTCTCTGGGAAAGGGTAGGATAATAGAAGGCATGGACATGGAGAGAGAGCCTCGTGGAGAAGATCTCACACGAAGCAGGCGGGATGGGAAATTTTAATTCTAGAAGATGTTTCCATGGGATCCAACAATTGATACCGACAGGGGTGGGCGACCCAGGTTGAGGATGGGTGGATATGTGGGTATTCCGACGGGCAGCAGCAGGATGGGCTGCAGGGGGAGGAGCTCAGATCTTGGCCCGGGTTGGGTGCTGAGGGTCGAGGTGGGCGAGGGAGGCTATCCTCCTTTTGGAGAAAGTAACGAAGATGGGGCGATTGGGGAATGGGAGCGGAGGTGACATCAAAGACCGCTGATGGTCGATGTAAACGAACCACCGGTTGCGGCAGCGACCTGCAGTGCTAATCTGCGAGTAGCGTGACACGGCCGCAATGCACGCGAGGAAGACGACCGAGGGGCGCGGACGCAGCGACAGCCGGGTTGACGATGACCAAAAGCTGGGGCCCTTTGAATGGGTGGGTCCTCGCGCTGGGCTGTCTTGTTGTGTGCGCCGGCGGAGACGAGATGCCGGTAGGATTATTGCTGGCTCGGCTTGCAGGCTAAGATCGACGCACCACGTCCCGTACTCCTGTACTGTGCTGCGCACCTCGGCTTGGGAACTGGGACCCAGCCCGAGTAAAGTACAAGACTGAGACGAACCAAAGGAGAGAGACAGCCAGGGCTGATTTTGCCGTGTCGGTGGATATGCGGGCGTCGGCGCAAGCGACGTGGCTCTCACCAAAAGGGTGCATGCGGCGGAGGAGGGGACCGACAAAAGAACGAGCGAGCGGATGGTGGACCAGAGAGAGACGAGACGGTAATGAGTAAGAGGCGGTAAGGCTATAAAGAGCCTGGATGCTACACTAGACTGCCAGCCCGTCTTGGAATGGAGAAACGTGGCACGCACGGATTCTGGATGTGGACCAGAACAAGGCCCGCTGCGAAGAGGAGAAGAAGCAAGAAGCCAGAAGCGAAGGTTTGGAAGCTAGAACACTAACATTCGACGGGAAGGAAAGCGATTCGCAGAAGAGGACGAAGGGCGGTTGTTTGAGAAGACGGCGGTAGCGTCAGCTTCAGCTTATGCTCATGAAGGGTCATGCTGTTCGCAAGTTCCACGCCCATTCCATTGCAGCCCAGTCCTGCTTGCCTGCCTGCATGCCTGCCCGGCTGTCCAGCCCAGTCGAGTCCCAGGGTTGGACAGGCTGTTCGCGGGTGGACACAAGCATGGCAAGGCCAGGGAAAAGATGGGATGAGGTGAAGCAGCGCACACAACGAGAAACGCCGCCAAAGCAGCCGGGACGAGGAGACACGGGGCGGATGGTCTGGTGCGGATAACGACCCAATCGCGGAGCTGAACGGGATGTTAGACAGCAGGCAACATCAGACGGGCCGGCCAATGCTTGTTCCGCCCACGGCGGCCGACTTAGACCCAACAGAGAAGCTTTAACGTCGTCCGATTGTTTCGTGGTCGAGACGGGAGGGATTGTGCGAGCGTGCTTTGCTTTGCTGCAGCCCGCGCGCCCGCCTGCTTGGCCGTCTAGGGAATTCTGAACATGCTGTGCAGCCGTGACATGCCATGTCATGTAATCGACAGTCTTTCTGTGATGATTGGCCTTGGCCTTGCCCCCGGGGCAGCAGGAATGAGTATTTTCATCCCATTCGTAACGACTCGTCCAGTGTCGAGCCGGCGATCTGCAGTCGCTTGAATGCTGCTGTGTCTGTTGGGGCTGATCCCTTGCGTGTTTTGTTGTGCCCTGCAAGCCATTTTGTGTCGTGTCATGTCGTGTCATGTCAAGTCATGCCACGGCTCCCATTCTGTCTCTCTGCCTGGCTGCGGATGTATTGATAGTGTAGCATGTGTGAGCATGTGCACATCTCCCAATGGTCCACTGGTTGATGGCGGCTGATGGGGTGCTGATGGCTAAAATGGTGATGGGCAGCACGGAGTGGGAAAGTGTGTATCTGAGGGCGTCAAACGAGCGTTGCGAAAGTGGACGTTTCGCAAGGTCCGCCCAAAGAAGCAAGAGGCGTTTTTGGCTCCCGCTCCACCGTCGTGCAGCCGGGGCCCGCCCCACCGTGGGAACTTGGCCGTTTTGGGCGCCTGATACCACCTCGCCCAGGTGGCCACGCCGCAAGAGGGTGACGCTGGCACATGCGTTTCCGCTGCAGTGGTAACGGGTGTCCAATCAGGGGTCCATTGTGCATTTGCTCTCCAAGGTTGTGGGGGGCCTGGCCGGCCCCTGTCCTGCATATTGCCGTGTGGATCCGAACAAAACGCACACACAAAGTCACCTGGCTGCAGATGGAGGTAGTCTTTGTACCTGCCCACATTGCAGAGTACCAGGGGTACTTACTGATTGGCCCCACGTTACCTCACCACATCCGTACCAACTTTGGAAGCTCAACGGCATCCCACAGCTGCCCCTGCTTGTCATCACCGTACGTGCCGCGCAGTCCTACCGCTCATGTATGCAGTCTATTCATCTTCGCCATCTTCGCCATATTTGAACAAAAGACATGGTCATCCTGCAGACAGCTCGTAACATCAAGAACGACATCCATCCCAAAATTGAAGCCAGCCAAACGATCTGCTTGGCCACATGAGACTAGGTACTCTGTCGTACACCCACACCTGTATCATCCCCAAGTACATTAACACAGCAAGCCACTCAATAGAAACATGCGGACCGGGACCGAGGCACGTATAGCATTTCTGATATATGACAACCAAACTTCCTCCCGCTTGCTTGCCTGCCCACCAGCCAGTAGGGACTTTTATAAGCCTGCGTCACGTCAACGACTTCACCTTCTCATAAAGAAGCAAAGACAATGGTGCCATGCTGTTGTGCAGTACACACGGCACCTGTTTCATCCGGGAAAGCCTGTCAAGCCTCTGCACATCTCCCTGCATAACCAGAATGACAATATGGCATGCTTCCCTTCCCCCCACATGCCAGCGCGCGTACAGCCATCGCTAAAGACCACCAATTGGGATCTGACCGCCCTGCATACGTGCATACACACTTGCACACATGTATACAGACATACGTGCACACATAGGGCGAGGTTGAGATGACCCAGACCACTTATCAGCTGCTGGCCGGCCAAGGCATGACAGAGGAAGGGGCAAGCCAGGTCGCCGTCTGCCGCGGTACCGGCCACTTGCTAAAGGCGCGGCTCAATGCAAGGCATGCCATCGCTGGGGGGCTCGCGTCATCGCAAGTCGAACCATGGGAGACCAGACCACGATCCGTCATATCATAATGATAATGAAAGCGTCGGGTATACCGTAGCATTTGAGATATGGTACGATGTTTCCGTCCCAAGGCCGCCGGCGGGCGGGCATCAACATCCCACCCACCCACTCTCCCGCCACCCAGTCTTGGGAAACTCAGACATGTCACCGAGGCAGGCCCAAAACATCAGACGATTGTCTTGTCATACAGGCATCGCAGCCACTGCTTCTTGTCTCTGCTTTTGGAATATCTTCCTGCCCCTGCTGCTACTTTTAGACAGCTTTGTGGGCGGGGAGGATCAATGACTTTTCCGGACCACAGATAGGTAGAGGACTGCCAGACAGGCGTGTAGCCTCGGCGGTCATCCAACCGGCTCAGCCGTTGAGCCTTCATCCGGCGCCTCTCGTATAATGTATACAATAGCCTGCACAAGTGTACCAGAGCCAGGGGTGTGTTGGTAATAATAACCAAGCGAGACCAGTTGCATGGGGAAGTCTAGATCCCCCGGATTGGGAACCGGGCCACTCTGCAACCTTACTTTTTACTTCTTCACAGGCACACATGCAGGTATCCGTCGGCTCTGACTAGCCGCAGGGCAGGGCTGGCCCCTTGGAGCTGGCTGACCAACAACAACGGCGTGGATGGTCCCCCTTCGTCTCGGCTGTATTATGGTAGCAAACCACTCTATATCAAACTGCCAGACTGCCGCGATATTAATTGGCTGCGTCTGAGGAGGGAGGGGGAGAGAATGGAATATAAGGTGGGTGGGTGACATCTTGGATGTCGATCTCTTGGGACGACACTCGGCTGCACAAACGGGACGAAGATGAGCGGTTGATTCACTGCAGTGGAAGGATTGTGCTGAAGATCGCACGGCACAGCGTTTCTGCTTCGGGGAACACACCTGCCACCTCACACCCCCACCCTCAGACAAAATGCCATGATGATCGCAGTTTCGCAGGTGTTGCCGCAAGCTCTTCCAAGAACAGCCAGCCGCCAGCCAGCCTCTGCCAGCCAGCCTCTGCCAGCCAGCCTCTGCCAGCCAGTCAAACAAGACAGGGCCCAGGCAGGGACGCGCGGGCTGCAGGGCTGCAGGGCTGGACTGGCTGAGCACAGACATGAGACGGTTTTATTTCCTTTTTTCTTCTTCCGGACCTTTGCGTTCGTTCGTATAGGATTCGCTGTCGATCACTCTCGTTTACTATCAAAACCTCGCTGACCGGTCCAGTCGCATCCATTTGGACAATTTCCCCCAGGCACGTAACCAACACCGACAGCACCTCATGCATCCGGCATCCGGCAGGATATCGTAACGCGGATGATGTGTCGATGCAGCGTGCTGGTCCCTTCGGAGTGACTTGTCCGGGAGAGGGCTGCCGCGTGGGGCGTATCATCATCATTGCCGTCCCAGCCTGCCTGCCAGCAACGTATACATACGTACAGTACATACGTACATGGATGCCCACTCCCCCTTCCCCCCGGCTCGCGTCTGATTTATGAGCCCGCCGAGGAAGCCCCACAGAAGAACGAGCGAGCGTGTGGAACGCAGCAGCGCGTGGTGGAGTCGCAAGGGGGCAGATCTGGGTGGAGCCTCGGATCGGGAGCACGAGGTTGCACTCGCTCACCGCGAGATGGTGACTCTGGGGTCTATGTCTGGGCGAAAGCGCAACGCTCTTGGGTCCAGCTCCGATGAATAGCCCGGAGGCCAAGAAGGGGCTTTTTCGTCTTCGCCTGTGTGAGGAGCGGAACCTGCTTGACTCGTATGCGGTTACATGGCATACACTCTTGTAGAGCGTGTATTTCTGTTCATATTGTGGTCTATGGTGTATGTCCACACATTATCCAGCTGGCACATGGAGGACCCTGAACGGTAGAGTTTTTTTTTACCCCTTTGGCCTTCGAGAACCGACCTGTCACAGGTCCCGCCAGAGCCAGAAAAAGAAGATAGACCGAAGAGTTTGACCGCGCTCTCCCGGGCCAAGGGCAAAAAGGTGCACGAGACACATCCGCCCCCTGGGCCAAGCGACTCAGCTTTTCCGTCTCTTGCGCCCACTCCCCCGCTGGAATCATGTTTAGAGTTTGGTCGCTTCTCATTCTGCCCTGGGGCCCTGCCAGCCCGAAGGAGGCGCCAGTCTTGATCCGGTGTCTCAGATCCTCGCGAATATCAGGTGTCCTGTCGGATCTGGACGACAGGCGCGTATGTTGATAAAACAATGAAGCAAATGATAGTTGATTATTGTGTGTTAAGGAGAGAAATCTCCCGCTATTAAACGCTCAAAAGGAGCCTATTTATAAGCTAGCGCTAATACATAGGTATATAACCCTCGCACCTTCCAACACACCCCCCATTGCAAATATTATTATTTTAATAATAATAAGAAATATCTCATTTTAATAGCTAAAAGATATAATTTAAATATTCCGCTATAATTTATACCAAAACTACTATATAAATATCATCCAATATCTATATATTCCGCTTGCATTATTTTTAATTAATTATTTAAATGCCTATTTAGCAATATAAACTTTATATTTATCTTAATCTTAATCTTATATAAGCTTCTTTAAGAATAAAACAAGGTAATGCTTTTATATAAATATTAGCGAAATTATCTTTAAATGTAATATAATAAACGTTATATATCTCCCTAATTCCTTTATAAATAAAATAATAATAAATAGTGATATATTTTAATTAAGCATTAACTTTATAATTTTAAATAAGGTTTAATATTAATTAATTATTAATATATAAAATAAATAAACATTTAATATATTTAATATTTAAATCTTTTAATACTTAAATTATTTAATAAAGATATAATAATGCTAATAAATATGCTATATATTCCGCCTTATAAGTAAATTTTACAATAATAAATTAACGCTTTAATAATTAAATAACTAGGTTGTTATTAAGTAATTATATATATTTGCTAAATACTTTTAAATTATTTAAATCCATATTATAAGAAGCGTTAACATATATATTAAGTATAATAAATTAAAATAATAATATTTATTTTAGAAATCTTAAGGTATAATTTAATGTATATTAAATATATTAAAGCACTTCCTTTGCAATATTTAAATAATAAATTACAAGCTTTATATTAAATATTAAAAGCATTATATATAAAAACGCAAGATTAAGTCTCATTTTAATAATAAGAAAATTAATAGATTTAATAAGTAATTAATATATTATTGCATTTATTGCAACATTATTAAGTTTTTCTTATTATAAAAATAAATTTAAATTTATAAGAGTTTATCTTTAATTATAATTAAATATATTAAAGCATTTTAAAATTTATTAAGAATATTGCTTTTAAAAAATATAAATTTTATTATTAATTTATATAATTTTTAATTTAAGGAGATATTTATAAAGATTAAGATTCTCATACTTAAAACATTGCATAAGCTTAATGCAAAATTTATTAACTTAAGAGGGATTTTTAATAATAAGGATATTATTAATATAAATAATAATAATAATTTAATCTTTAATAAAAACGCAAGGGTTAAATATTATTTTTATTAAATATTTAATTAATTTTTCTTTAAAAGTATTAAATTATTTACAGCTTAATTATTTAAGTTTATATAAGGCATTAAGAAGTTTTAAAATAACCTATTAATTCTTAAATAATATTTAATATTCTTGCAATAATTATATATAAACATTATATTTTAAATAGCTATATAAGTATATTATTTTAATATTAAATTATTAAAGCTACTAACTTATTATAACGGCAATAATAATAATTAATCTTAAATTATTATAATACATTATAAGGTTATAAATATTATTATAATTTATATTATAGATTTATATATATTTATAAATAATAAGTTAAGCTTTATAGCAAATAAGCTTATTAAAAGCATTAAACTTTTTTATATATACCTAGTAAGAATTAATAACATATTAATTTACAATAGCAAGTACTTTAACTTATATACTTATATTTAAGAGTAATTTAAGTTTTCTTTCAATAGCTTATTGCTAAGCATCCCTTTTATTACTCTTTATAGCTTATATATATATATTAAAAATATTATTAATATTTATTATGTTAATAAGTAATGCTTAAGTAAAGATTTAATTAAAGTAGTTAGCATTAATAAATATTAATTAAGCAAGATTTAATATAAGGTTTGCATTAATTAATATTAAATTATTAAAATCTTTAAAATATTTTATAATAATATTTATATTTTCTTTCGCTTTTTATAAAGGCTAAATTTATTATTTTTAAGAATTATATAATTATATAAATTTTGCAAGTTTAAGTAGTTTATTAATGGGTTTTATAGGTTTAAATGGTTTATTAATGAGTTTCGTAGGTTTAAATGGTTTATTTATAAGTTTCGCATTATTAGCAGGTTTTATTAGCTAAGACGCTAATAATATCTTTATCTTAAGTAGCATATTTTTATTTAGCTAGCTTATTATTTATATAATCTTTATTATTAAATTAAATCAAATAATATAGCTTAATATTGCGGTTATAACAACTTTTTAAAGTAATATAAATAAATAAAAAATAGTTTTACTTTTAGCCTTAACTCTTATAAAGTATACCTTTTTAGCTTTATTTAATAATTTCATTTTTAATTTATAAGCTTTAATAAGGATATAAAAATATGCAAAGTAAAAATATAGTTAAAAATGTTTAATATTAAGCTTTTATTTATAAAGCGCCTTAAATAACGTTATTTAGCATGATAAGGCTAAGTATAATTTCCGATTTTATAAGTATATTGCATAGGAAATCGCTTTAAGCCATAAGAATAAATAGTTTTTATTGTAAATTATTATGTAAGTATTGGTAATAATGGTATATATAAACCTTTTAAGCATATTATTTAATTTATAATAATAAGGGGGTAATTTCTTATAAATAATTCCGCGTCTTTAAAATATTATAATAATTATTTTATTTATATATTTACCTTTATTATTTAAATTAAATATTTTAATTTTTATATTAAATTAAGTTTTAATTATATTTA